AGTAGTAGTAGTGATAGTAGTAGTAAGTATGATGATTGCTCTGCGTACTGTTTTATGTAACAACAATAGAAATAGTAATTATATTAAGGACAAAAATCACAATAAGTAGGAATCGTCATAGTCATAGACATAGTCATTGTCATGGTAACCGTAATGGTAAAAGTAAAAGTACATTGTGTGGGGAACTTAGCACAGTTATTTTGCGGAACCGTCTTGGCATTCTTGGTCAGACGAGGGGGAGCAAGATTGCCAAGCAATCTTGGTCATCTTGCCCCTGCCCCTCTTGCTCGACGACTAGTTTACGTTTCGGAGACCAAGATTGCAAGATTGCTTGGCAACCATGCAACCTTCGTCTAAAAGGTAAACTAGTCGGCCAGACCAAGATGACGGGGCAATCTTGCAAAAATAATGGTTTTAAATTCCGGTCTCACTGTAAGAGCATCAGTACCGATACTAACAATCACAACAGCAATAGCAATAGCAAGGCAAAGGCAATACAATGCCCATAATAACTATTCATAACTATGTTTGTAACAATGATATCAGTATTATTAAGGATACGAAGCAGTACTAATGGACATAATAAGTGATTATAATCAAAATGCAACACCCAAAATAATACTGATAACAACTAGCAGTTGAATGGGAAGCAAAGGCCCCAAACCCGGCAACGAAAGGCTCGTGTCCCTGGAGCTTCGAGCCTTCGACTCCTGGGCAAGATCTGGGCCCGCTTCTTCGGCAAGTGGATGGAAGCGGTACCAGCTGCTTTTCGGACGACGACTGCCCCAGTGGTCTGGTCTGCGGGCAAGTGGGTGTTCGCGTTCTCAACCCTACGACGAAGCAGTACCAGCCGACAGAAGAGATCCGGATGGAGTGTGGCCATCAGATTGGTTTGTGGTCTGCCTATCAACTCTGCGTCTGGAGTGGAAACACTTATGTCAGTCCAGCGCCTTTTGAGGGTTGGATTGATTGTCCGTCCCATCACTTGATGTTCGCTTGTGCTGGGCACGAGCCATGGATCACCACCTGCTACTCTGAGGGGTCTCACGACGATGGCTGTTGCGGCTGTGCGAATTGGGCAGAGATTCTAGACATACCCGTCCCGAAAGCTCATGGCTGCAGGGGCACCAGTACCACTTGGCAGCAGCACGCACTCCCATATTATGAGATACTCAAACGCGGCTGCCCAACGGCATACACGTAACCTGGCACAACTTGCACTGCCACTGCTTTGTTTAGATATGCCCCTAAACTACCCAACACCCCAAACTACAACACCGGCTTGCCCTGCGTACCAAGCCCTAAGCAGGCCGACAGTCTAAATCCGAACCCCTGAACCCCCAAGCTCTGTAATCCTAACAAACCCTGAACCCCGGTCAGAAACCCAAACCCTGCACTAAGGTTTGCATACGACGATGAGTCCTCAACTTTTACTTGCCAGAATGCAGACAGTCGACAAAACGAATCTCTTGCTGCTCACCTGACAGATCCAGAATTGCGAGTCCCACCACTATTGGGTTTTTTGTTTCGATAGGATTGGCACTTGAACTTCACGAGTTCTGACTACTGTTCGAGACACAACATCTAGTTTTTGATAGCCGCGAAAATGCAAGCAGTCCTAGGTCTCAGAGACAGGGCATGTGAAGAGCTGAGGCTGCTTGCGGAACGTATGTGGAAGATGCTCGGTGAGACTTAGAATGTCAGACCGGTGTGGCAAAGTCTTAACATCTGATGCACCCTGCTATAAGCCTGCAGTTTGCAACCCGCGCCAGAGAACCTTAGGAAGAGGCTTGTCCGCAACCACTCTGTGCTTGGTACGGGGAGACTGTTGGATGCCGGCTCAAGGCCAATGATGCAGGAGCTTCCGAGCACGCCCCATTCAAAAGTGGTATGCTTGTCGGTTAGGTTCAGGATTCGGGGTTCAGGGCCCTCAACCCTGAACCCTATAAACCCTTTACAGAGTGCATCTTCATTTCTACCAAGTGTCCGCAGGATACATCATTACGCTCTGTCCCGAAGCACCGGAGCAATCGTGGACAGCTTCGGAGCTTGCTGCAGAGTCTGGAATGGGGCATTCCACCATCACCACAACCACAAAACTCACCACCACAACGGCGTGGTCCTGCCAAACTGGAGATGTCGTCCCCTGTTGTGCAGATCGACAGTGCCTTGAGACCTGTGCTGGCAATCAGTGCTGTCCAGACGGGACGGCCTGCCCGTCTGCCACTGACAACTTTACACTCTGTCCAGCTCCCAGACTGTACACTTGTCCCCCGGAAGCCACGACTTCCACCACGTCTGCCCAAGACGGCTCTGCAGATGATATGAGGCAGGCGTCCCTGCATGCTGGCGCAAGGAGCTCTCATCATTGCTGTGTCGAGCTTTTGAAGAGTTCCTCGTGACTTTTAGGGTACTCCTACTTCCGACTCCTCCTACTCATAGTCCTGGAGTCCTCTTACTCTTACTACTACCTATGCTACTACTCTAGCTGCCACTGCCACTACCACAACGACCAGGACTGGCGCTGCTGCTACTCCTGCTGCTGGTGATGATCCTCTTCATTCCTCCTCCTCCTCCTCCTCCTACTGCTCCTGCTGCTGCTACTACTACTACTACTTCTACTACTACTACCACTGCTACTACTACTACTACTACTAATACTGCTACTGCTACTGCTACTGCTACTATTCCTATTACTACTACTACTACTACTACTACTACTACTACTTTTTCTACTTCTACTACCACTACTACTACTACTACTACTACTACTACTACTACTACTACTACGACGACTGCTACTACCACTTCGGGCTGAAGGGCTTGGGGACCCTTGAGTGTTGAGCTGGGTGTGGCGCTCG